TAGAAATGTACACAGAGATTGCAATTAACTTTGTGATCTGGATTATCTTTGAAGGCAGGCTTAAAAGCATGTTTCCTACTAAAATGACACAGATTTACATTTCCAGATCTCCTTGCACAGGGTTGCAGACAATCAGCCTTCATCACTATGGAGGAAAAAATGGTATCACCAACAGAAGAGTGCTTTTGTTGGGTGACTGCTGCCACAAACCTTTTCTCAATTCTTTCAATCTGCAGGAATCTAACTGAATGTAGTATAGTCTAGAAGGGTTCTTTAATTGATTTGCAGCCACTGAAGTTTCTTGAAGAAATAGCACTTCTCTCCAAAGTAAACAAGAATAAATGTGATTCAGTTGCTATCCTAAAATTAACCCTGGCATTTCATTCTGAAAGATGTGATAACTTATAACTAATTATTTAATTTTCTCATAACAAATACTAAATCTTGAATAATCACTTATATAACTTCTTACCTTAACACCTCAAAAGCATGACAAAATTTTTTAAAAAATCATGTTTTGCAGGGCTTTCAAGAAGGACTTTGAAACATGTACCTAGGTATTTATTAATTTTTGAGAACTACCATTTTTATAAGGTATTTAAATGAATCAAGTCATCTACTCCAAGGCCATAATTACCTTTGGAAGTGGAGAATGTTCAGAGATGCATCAGTATTTAAGGCATGGGAGGAATAGTAAATCTTGTGATACTGGGTATTATTTCCACTTCCACACTAGGCCATACAGACTGAATCCACATGGGAAGCCCTCTTTCAAACGAATCTCAGTCCTCTCTTAACACACAGACCACGATGGCTGTACAATTGAGTTCTGAACAATGTGCAGGCTGTTTTGGGAACCAGCATCACCTTCTTAGCACAGCAACTAAAATATCTATTCAGGGCATTTGAGCATGACAAGCACTCTCCTGTTTTCTCCAGTTATCTCAGACTATTTATTAATTCTTTCAGAGGTTATGAAAATCACAAATCATTAACCAGGAATTTTAATATATACTTGTATATATGATAAGCAGTCAAATTCCTTCTCATAATCAGTGAAGCACATGCTGCGCAGTGGATTATATCCTTATGCTTTTCCTATTAAAAACTGCATCTTAAATCACACCACAACACAGTTTCTTGCAGGACTCAGGAGTATTGTGATTTGTGTCCTACAGTCCTCATCTAACAATTGCATAATTTTTGTCTTTTCATCTTTTATGGTCTTTAAATCCTTCCCCTTTACTAAGGCTCATTTTTAATGTATTGCATATGACAAGTCACCCATCACACGCTGAATTCTTCTACTACAAATTAATTACTGAAGAGTGGGGAACAAATAAAGTATTAAGAGTGCATGCTGGGAGACATCTAACACAAGTCTGTGGCATTGCCTGCTACTGCTCCATACCAAATTCAAGGCTAGGTGAAGTGCTCTTCAATATCTCATTCTCAAGTTTGAGGTGTGTTCTCTGGCTGCCCAATTTCCGCCACTTGATTTTATGGTAGAAAGTGAAACTCCATTCCCACCAGCTGTTCCCAAGTCAGAGCCTGTGTGTCTCTCCTTTCCTTCTTCTGAAGGGTTTATGTTTCACACATCACCCACACAGAACTAGGCAACAGTGGCAGGCACAAAGTTTAGATTTGGAATTGAACAGCCTCAGAGTCTGCAAACCTGGGAATGTATTTTGGCTCAGGATGACCAACGTTCAAGACCCAGACTTCTTCCTCTCTTTACGGAGGAAGAAGCATACAGTGTGGGGAGAAGCTCTGTGGCTACAGTATAAAACTGATAAAGATGCATTAATTGCCAAATACTGTACCCTGCAGAAACTTTTGTCCTCGCCATGGGGCTAATGGGCTAATGTAGCACACACATTTTGCTGTTTGGATCATAAGATGATGTTTTTTTCTTGTTGGATTTTGGACAATTTTCTTTGCATTCTTTTGTTAGAATTGCCAATACCAATTCAGTGATATTGGACAACAGGAATCACTCTGCCATCCCTCTCACCAAAGAGAAAGAAAAACTACTTGCCCTATTTATAAATGTCCTATAAGAAAGCTTCCTTATATCATGGTTAAATGATTCATAATAAGGTAAATATTACATTATTAATTGAAGTTTCAGGTAAATTTCAGTAAGAAGCAGGATCCTGCACAAAAAGGGTAAAATGACCTTCTGAGCAATTTAATACACAATATGTATATTTTTCCTATTGCATTATTATTATTTTACCAAATAAAGCTTATAAAATAGCAGAGAGATTGGGTCTTCTGTTTAAGTGGAGATGTAATCTCTCCATTGTTCCTTGTCCTAGCATGTTAACTTTTTATAGTAGGTAGGCTTTTAAAAAAGCCAGAGAAATATTTCCTGTCATCTAGTACTCATGCTTTAAGTGTAAATTATTTGTCAAACAAGTATATATCTCATGATTTCAATGGTTTTTTATAAAATTAGCCACCAGATGTGATTCAGTCACACACCTGTACAGTCCTTCCAGTCAGCTACATTCATCCCACTTAACCTGCAACAGTTCTCCCAGGCTGTCAAGGTGACAGCTTTAGTGGGTGTGCAAGTAGTCAAGTCCCCCAGACAGTGATGGGAGACACTTGGGAAAGCTCTCTCAGGTCTCCTCTCCCCACCACTCCTACATGGCACATAGCCGCCACCCCCCATGAGACACTCGGCAACACCATCACCATATTCTCTCCCCCTTCCCATGTTCCCCACATCCCCTGACTTATAGAGGAGGGAGAGAGGATTTGGCAAGCCTTAGCTGGACTCCAGGGCTTGTTCCAAATGCTGAGGTTGCTACTGGGATCGGGTGTTGGTCATGGGGTTGAATGCCTTATTCCCCTTAGAGATTTGCTGCTGAAGTGACACTCAGGACTCTGTGTCATCTTCCAGCAAAGGCCCTGAGAGGTGTAAAAGCAGCAAAGATGTCACCTATGTGCCACTCCACAGTAAAAAGGGTCACACTGTGCCTTCTCTCTGCAGCCACAAGCAGTAATCTCAACTGGATAATGACTTGAAAAATCAAACTGAAATTTCCACATATAACTGTACTGTGATGTCTGTGTCTCATCGTGTCCACATCAACACAGATCCAAGACAAATAAAGAGAAAAAGGCTAAAAAGCTGGGCTTCAGGCCAGTAAACACCACTGCTGTTGAACTATGTTGCAGATGAAGCCACCTTAGTTGCTTATAACTTCCAGACAAATGGGGTGGGATGTTGCAATTACATCACTAACTTCTCTAAAAGTTTTTCACCTAAAATTTCAATCTGTAAGAAATGTTTAATAGTTCTTGAGCTATTGCATGAAAAATGTTTCAAAACAATAGGAATACCTTGTTGATGAGTCTCACCATGTAATCTATGGAAAACATAGCAGTCTTCAATAATAATAATTGAAACCCCTTTACTATGAAAAGTTTTTCATCAGTCTAAAATCTGTTGTGACAGAACAGAGTTCTGTTGTAATTTGAAAGTTGCTAAATGCAGGAGGAGTTAATTTTACCAAAGAAACCCAAAGCAGTGACTTCCAGAACTCTTACAGAAGATTTTCACCCAGGCTTTGCATTATAATGAACTCTTTATGATAACATGCAAAAAAATCCTTTTGAAACAGCATGCTGCAAGTCAGTGGCTGTCAGGAATTGTAAGTGATAACTCACCTCTCTACTACTGGTATCTAACAGGCAAGAAATTGGATATTTAACATAGTCAACTAGCATCAATATCCCCACAGTATTTCTTTTGTTAAAATGATCTGATAACAGTGAAGATTCATACTTTAAGCTAAGTTGGGTGCTTCGTCTCTCAGCAAATTCAGTGAAGGATAACAGACTCTGCTGGAGAAGGATCTGAAGGACCAAAGCTATGAGCCTCCTGTCTCTGTGGACTCTGTATGGAGCTTAGTTTCACTATAATAGTCATGTATGCTGGAAATTGTCAGTGAGACCTTTTCTTCACCACAAGAAAAACTGAAATCACAGACATATTTCTGACTGGAAAGACAAACAGATGATCCCAACCAAAGTTAGCATTTCTTCTAAGCACTATAAGCATATTAGATACCCCTAACATAATTCTGAAGTTTGTGAAATAGGGGAGCATAACACAGGTATTAACATGTACACATATGTAAAAATACACTTTAAAAAGACTTTCATATGTCAGCTTTTCAATAAACAAAGTATTTAGTTTAGAAAGATGGAATTTACATTTTGCTTTGTTTTTAAATTTAGTCTCTGTTACACAAATGAAGTTTCAGGCAGCTGCTTTGTCTACTTGATACATTCCCAACCCCCTTTAATATTTCTATTTTCACCGGTTCTAAGATTTCTTTGTTGTTCGTTTTTCTTTTATAATCCAGGACACAGTTAGTTCTCAGCTGATACTGCAACTCTCTGAAGAGAGCAATCCTTCCTCATAAGTCTGTCTGAGGCCAAAAATAGCTCTGTCAGCTTCTGACAGCCTGAACTTAGCCAAGTGAAATGTTTTAACATTTTATCATCTTAATGAACAGGCTTATTTATAATGTGGACAACTTTACTGTCATTGTATGCAGGCTGCTGAATAGAATACCGAATGCATTTGTTTGGGGAATCCTGAATATACTAAGAAATATAATTTTTGACCAAAGAGTAGTTGTCTTAGACACTGTAAACAATTTTAAGATGCAATATTCTTAGCCCATTTGAATAAAAGGAGTGGCTTAATGGTAACATCCATAACTATGACAATACGTGAACAAAGGAACCTCACAATGATAAACAACTAACTTCCAAATCACAGAAATTTGCAATATGCAACAATTGCCATTAAAAAACCCTATACCCAGTTTAAATATTACTATTAATGCAATACTGGAAATAAATATGTAGACTAAGTATCTACAGATACCTTTAGCACTTTATAGTAGAGGGAGAGGGTTAAAAGTACAAGAAAAAAATTCTAATAGAAAAAAGAGTGTGGGTTAACAATTGCTTACCCTCTTTCCTGCTACCTCATCCTCTCCTGTAGACTCCTGGCCATCATGTTCATCTCTCAGGGTTGGCATATGTTTTTTGTGTGCTGGCTCTCTGTTTAAAGTTGTATATCCTACGTGTTCATAAATTGGATTTATTGTCATCTTGGCAATGTATTCAGCTGCCTTCGTTTCAATATAAAGAGTAATCAATCCATCTGTCACCAGGTCATGGATGGACTCAAAACGTTTCTCCCCAACAAAGTGCTTTCCATCGTAGTAGAGTCTGAAGTTTCTGGTTTGACTTCCAAATCTGCCTCAATGAAATGGGAAAGTTTTTTTTATAAAGAACAGTAAGCAGAATAAAGACGAGTAAGCAAGCCTCTGCAAACAATAAAAACCACTTTATCACTTAAAGCTGTGACTATGCTCTGTGTCTGGTCCAGACGAGAATGAAAAACTCAACTACTACTTAGCACAGATAGGAAGGAGAGATCAACAACTGAGATAGATAGCCAAAACTGTCCCAGAAGGAGCTATTTGTTCTCTTATTCTTTTAGTCCTTCCATTATCCCGTGGAAAAACTGAAAATAACTTCACACTGTTTATGGCTTTTTTTAGTACTTTACTACTGCATCGCCATAGTCAATTTGCTTGGCTCTGATATGAAGAGTTCTCATAATAGAGTCCTCTATTACAGTTGATCAATACTGAGTTTTGATGCTGTCTCGGACCTCTGCGCCCCTGCTTGCTTGCAGGAAGAGGCCATTCAGGGTTCAACTGAGCTTCAGTGCCAACAATTACACTGAGGTAGAACTGCTGCCAGAACTGGAGCAGCACAGGACAAAATGGCACAAGGGCAAGCATTCTTTATTCCTGGCCAGAGGCCAAGGACTAACTCTTCAAGCTTTGTACAAAAGTCCTTCTGTGTTATGCTTGTTAAGTCCTGAGCTTCAAGCAAATCTTTGTAATATACAGGATATATAATGCATAAGCTATCTGACGCTAGCAGTTCGGCAGTCAGGGTGGAACAGGATTTTGATGCGGCCTCTTCACAACCATAAGAATGCCAATTTTACCTGAATATTCACATATTTTCAAAAACTGTACTTTGAATCTGCAACAATTTTCTGCCTGAAAGCAATCTAAATGTGTGAAAACACCAGTGTTTGCTCTTGGCAACAACCAATGCATTTCCTGTGGAGAAGATGGAGGCAAGAAGCTGCTTTCACAGCTCACTCCAGTGTTATTTCTTGATCAGACAAGCAGCAAGGGTGGCTGCTCAGGGTACTGGGCCCCCTTGTGAGGTCACATCTGACAAATAAATATTAAAAACTAATTTTGAAAGGATGGATTGCTTTCATTTTACAATGAAATGCTTCATAGGAGATGTTAAAGAACACTGGTGCTTTGCTGAAGTGGCTCCTTTTCAATGGGGCCTTGCCAAACAGGGGACAGCATAATTTCAGACCTTGCCTCAAGTAAAATATTGCAGTCTTCTTGCAAATATGGGTAAAATTACTTGTTCTGTGATGTATATTTTTTTTATTGTGTTCTGAATAAAAATGCCAAACTTTCCTATCTGCCTATCAATAATATGACAGTGACTGTAACTTCAGGAGCTGCTATTTTTACTCAGTGCTTAAGGGGGCCCTCAGGAATCCATGTCCTGCTCAGTAAGAAAAGAGAACATAATGTGTAGGGACTACTTGGGCATTTTACTGTAAATGTACTGGTACCTCTATGCACACTTTTATGCCACACAAACTAAAAGTTCACTGAATCAAACTGAAAAGCAAGAAATTACAAAATTACAGAAAAATAAAATTTTTACCCAATGCTAATTTCATCACAAGACTCAATTCTGAGTGAATACAAGTCATTCAGAAAGCATAATGTCCTAAGTTACAGCAGAAGGAGTAGGAACATATTCAGGCCCATCCTTCAAAGCATCTTCCTACTCAAGGTAGTGTGCGGCAAACAAGCTTTGACCACGAGACATACTCCTTGAATACCCTCCACTGTCAGTGAAGTCAACACGAGCCAAGAGTGCTCAGCACTTTGTAGTGCCAAAGTGAGCAACCTTCACTGTCTTCTGCTCAAGTCAGTGGGAATAATGCACATGGAGCACATACAACCACTATGATGTTAAAATTTGACAGGAGAGCCAAGTAAGTTTGAAGGTGAAGAATAATGGCCCTTACATGACAATATGCAATAGAATTATTTTTACTAAGAGACATAGCAGGTGAACTGCTGCTCTAATCAGTAACATATGCTCTGACAGTATTATAGCAGAGTTTTAAACAAGCTGAAGGTCACTTATTGCTCTTAGCTTTCTAGAAGAGAAAGTATTACACTAATCTTAGCAAGAGAAGATAAGGCATAGAAAAGCTTCTCAGGGCCTATTACTAAGTACACATGGTGTCTTGATTTTAGTAACTTCCTTCAGAGTTTAAAAGAAAGTTCTGAAAAACAAGATGGTGAATGCAGAGAACAAACAAAAGTTCTTAAAAGGATTAATCCTCTTCCCATCAGGGTCAGTAGGTACATGGCTCTACCCCAGCTATGTTTTACTGAGCAGCCCCTGCGCTGTATGTTTGTTCAGACTGCTGCACATAAAATGTGTCTTTGAGAGATACTATAAGGAACAGGATTCCCAAAAGTACATAATCTTTATCCCACTGCTCCTGACCCACATTTCAGCACACGAGTATCTCATAGACAACATTCCACAGTTTTAATTCTTTAACAGCAGCCCATGCCTAAACTTATCTCTCAAACAGACTGAAACTTCTTCCTCTATGGATCTGGGGTACTGTACATCTATTTTTTTGGCATGTGTGGCCTTCTAAAGGTACATTCAACTTTCTTTGTTTAAAATACATTAGGATAATTTAACAACTGCCACTTAAAGAAAGGTATTTAGACAAGCAAATTACTCTACACCACTTGGGAAAGGTGCCTGCATATCAGCTACAAGGGGTGAGCATTGAACATTTTGCCTGCATCTCATTTCCCTTTTGTTCCAAATCAAAGTTTTTTCTCTCTGTTAATTTCTTATTGGATACATTGTGGGGAAATGTATTGTCTCCTACTGGCAAGACGGAGGGAAAAACCCAACCAAATCCCCACAAATCAATGAAACACCAATCTCTTACAGAGAGTATACCATCAATAACAAATCTTGCTTTATTTCTTTCAAACTCATTTAAATTTCTTTCTGATCACACAATGATACTATTTTGATCTAACTACAATATAAATGCAAACATACATGTCCAATTGCAAATGATCAATTAAAATGTAACATTTGGTCTCTCCAGTCTTACTTAATACTATTTAACTTCAATTCTTCCGTTAGTGAGAATATTTTCTTATGTTTACTTTCTATAACATCACTGCAGCCTGGTTAATTATACATCACCACAGCAATTAAGTAGAGCCAAGATTTGGTATTTCAACTTCCTAATCGTCTCTTCCTAAAGGCAAGCATTAGTACCAGCTGGTTTTTGTTTAAAAAATAGAAAGCAGGACACTGATAATATATGTTCTCTTTTGGTTTAAGCAGGGGAACATTAGATGTTTTTCCAAGAAAAAGAAATAGGTCTCTGACATGTCAAACAGTCTCATTGTGTCCATTGTGCATTTGTTTGCAAGCAGCAGGACTACAGATAAAAGACTTTTTTTATTCCAAGTTGTCTGAAAAGCAATCACTCTGTCTAGTCCTTTTGGTTGCCAGTGGGGCAGGGTGGATAACAACGTGGGAAAACGGATTAAATGGTATAGCAAATGTGGCTAGTAATAAAGGACTGAGGAGTTGAATCAGGCATCATAGCATGAGAGAGACAGGCTTCAGACTCACCCACCTACTCTGTATGCAGCATTCACTGATAAAACAAAAGGAAGAACTGAAGAACCGAGAGCCCATCCACACTTTCTTACCATCTAAGAAGATGGATTTTACAGTTCACATACAGAATTGTACAGTAGCTACTCAAGTCTTTCACAGGCTACTTTATGATGAGAATAATAAATAGACAAAGGCATTACTTAAAATGTGTAGCTGCAACCAGACCACAGAATTAACGCCCCTCAGGGCTACTCATGTCCTCATTAGTTTCAAACAACTTCATACACTGAGCTGAGAAATTAAGTTCTGTACATGTGCCTGAAGGTCACTTGGACTTAATCTTCCCTTGGAGAAAAAGCATCTTAATGTGCTTTGCAGCCAGAAGATAGAAGTCTCAATTAAAATTAGATGCCAGAATCTCAGCTCTAATCTGTGAAAACTCTCGAACCAACACTTAAGACTAGAGTCTTGAAACTTTATAAAAAGCCACAGAAATATAAGCAATCTTATGATCAGGAAGGTCTCCTAATCATGCCATGTTCATATGAAAGAAAACAAATTATTCTACAGATCCTCTTTTGACCCATTTCCTTGTCAAAGCAACACAAGTCTTGCATGCAGCCAAAACCTCTTCTACCCAGTCATCCCTGAAGGTCTCCAACTCCCGAGAGCAGCTCATTTTTTAGGTTTTTTTATTCTTTATTGGCAACAACATTTCTGAGGATGGCCAGGGAACTGTGGAACTTGCCATCTTCCCAGAGTATCTGCCTGACAAATAGCATCATCTCCAAAACCTTAGCAGTAGCTTACAAGCATGCAATACACAAATTAAATCAAATGCATTTGAGATTGAAAGTAAAGGTGCATTTTATACAAGTGGAGACAAAAAGTCCTGTTGTCTGATATGGCTGGGAAAGGTGGCTGGGTACAGTCACTATACATAGTTTTCCTGTGCTGTTTGGAAGGGCAATATTGGCTGGTTGGCTGACTGTTGCTTGATGAACATTAATTAGGTTTAAAGTTATCCCTAAAACTTGATCAGATCCATGCATTGGCTGAATGCATGATAGTTTAGTTTAGAAAGGAAAAAGTGTGGCATCCTTCAGAAGAGAAAACAAGTTCCAGACCTGGAACTGCAAGGTGTCTACCCCACACCAATGTAGACACAACCTTCAAATCACTGTCTAATCAAGATCAAGTAAAAAAATTCAGAGCTGGTGCTGTATCATTAACAACAACCTCCAGCAATCTCTCTCAACTGAGAATGAAGACTTAACCTGCACCACTGCCCAGATTCCTTGTCCAAGAGGGAAACAATATTGTGCAAATACCATGCTGCAAACAGCAGGCAGTGAGGACCAGCACAGTGGCACTTTTCTGTGGATCATGAGCACTGTCAGGGACAACACAAGTGAGAGAGAGAGAACTGCTCTAGGGCATCAGCAGCAAGTAACAGCTGC